AGGCTTGGAAGCGGGGGGAGCGGTGCATTGTGTAGCTACATGTGCAGTGCCTATACTATGCTGTTATAGGTAGATAGTCTAAGACCACATATTTACATTTTTTAAAGCTAATGTATGACCAAAATGTGAAACTACAAGTTACTTAGTGGTTCTTTGGATAGAAACCCTTAGTTCTCACTCCCTGTTGTTGCAGACTAATGACAAATTAACACAGATAACCTGACTATGAGTTGAATGTTATGTTAAATTTTGGGGTTTGTTTGAACTTCAAATTTTTCTTTTGCAGACTGGAAAGCTAATTTTGAAACCTAGGCCCCATGTTCAATGATGGCAGTCTTCTTTCACCTCTGTCTACTACCATGGAAACCAAAAATGACCTTTTCTCAAGGTAGTGTGGCACCAAAAAGCTGAACAGGACTGATTTGCAGTTGCTTAGAAGTGAGAGTCTTAGTCACAGTTGACAGCGAAAGTGTGCAATATTACTGACGGGCATATTTGTCTAAATTCTCTTGACTATCCTGATATCAGTGCTTTTGCTACTTTTGATTACCTCTTTTTTCAGTATTAGTGTCACTTATGTTGGTCAGGTAGAGGAAAACATACAGGTAAAATATGTTAATTGGTTACTAAGTTAAACTTGGAAACCTAACGTCATTTTGTTTTTTATAATGTGTTTTTTGCAGACTCTTGTAAATAGAAAATCAATGCCAATGTTAAGCAAAGAGTAATACAGTTCTGTGATTTCTTGTTTTCATTAACCAGTATTTAAAGGGATGCTTATTTGCCATTCCAACAGATTTTTATTAATATACTTATTAATTACAGTTGTCTTTTTCATTCCTGATTACAATATTTTTGAATCAGCAAACGAGAGACTTAAAAGAAATCTGTGGTGGGGTGGGAGAAAGTCTTATTATGTTTAAGAATATTGCAAATACGTTAGTGTCACATGTTTACCTACATACAGTACTTAGGCCACTTTCTCTGTGGTGATCCTTAGTTCAGTGCTTTCATCTAATTCAGAATTACAACTTGTTTTTAATGTTTTTAGCATTTTAAAATCTCTTAAATATATTTACATCTTTCATATTATAAAAGTTCTGTACTTTATCTGAATTCCATAATCATACCGTTTTAAGAGTGGATTTTTATGCTGTAGTAATCTGGCTATAAAGCTAGTATTGCAAATGTTGAATGTTGTATCAAAATCATTTGATAAAGGAAATATGATCAGTGCCACAAATAAATTAATACAAATTTCTAAAGTGTTATGAGAAATTACATGTGGCTCTTATGTATATGCAGTATAATAGCTCTTGAAATATTTATAATAACAGTTTAATTTTAAGTGTTCAAGGTGCCTTTTTACCTTTTTCAGATTTTTTTTTTAAATTGAGCATAAATCTGCGTTAAAACAAAGCTATTGCCGGCATAGTCATCTCTCACTACATTTAAGACTAGGAAGACTGCCTCTTTAAATGAGCATAGTTTGATGTATTTTCATTTTCATTCATTTGAGGCAATAAAATCATTTGCTCCTAAACTCTTTCAGAAAGTTTGTACTTCTGTCCTTTCTTTTTAACTGATGTAAATTTTGTACATAAATACATGCATTAAATAAATACTTTATATATGCATATTGTGGTATGTTTGTTTTTTTTGTATTGTAAACTGGCATGCAGATGTTATGTACTTTAATTATGAATAGCTGAAGACTCTAATGATGGAGATATGTTTTTTTGAGTGAAATGTTATGTTTGTAATTCTGGATATTGAAGACTCCGAAACAGGGAGAGCATAGAAAGTAGCAGTCCTGGTCCCTCTACAACAGGGGTGTCCAAACTTTTTTCAAAGAGGGCCAGATTTGATTAAGTGAACATGCGTGAGGGCCGACCATTTTGCCTGACATTCTTTGAACCATTAAAATTAAATGCAAATTAACTATTTTATGCAAAGTTTATTGCAAACGGCATACTTTTCATTTCGTCACATGGATGACAAATCTAAACAGGTGTTAAATCACTCTGCCTTTTATATCTGAAGGCCAGATGAAAAGAAAATCCAGGAAGCTGAAATATATGTCAGGAACATTGTAAAGTACATTACATATTATTGGTAATAAAGGTTGTCTGTCAACTTTTAAGTTCAAAAAATATGAACAGGAACATAACACCAAGTATACATGTTTAGTCCAAATATATTTATAACTGATTTAGACCAACTGACATTAATTGAGATTGTACAATGTATTCATCTCAATACATATGGATTCGTTGGGGGCCATAAAAGATAGATATTGCCAAATTACCTGTGGGGCTGTATTAAACCGGAACGCGGGCCGCAATTGGCCCGCGGGCCGGACTTTGGACATGCCTGCTCTACAACAATTCTCTAGTGTACCTAAATCCTGTTCCATGTATATTCTCATGACAATAGCAGGTATTGTCTCTATCTCCATTGATTCTGTCCTCTCTGAGGCTTCAGGAAGGCCCCAGATTCAACAAAGCATATAAGTATGTACTTGGATGTTAACAAAGGTGCCAGAGACATAGATGTGATAGGACTACTTGTTGATATGGTGGGCTTATGTCCAATTCCTGGTGAACATATATCATGTAAGCTCCTGAATCATCATATCATCTCCTTCCAAATTGGGCTGGATGTGGATTTAAACTAATGACCTACAGGTCATTCAGCTTCCCTGGAATCCCTATATCTGTGGCTGGCTATCTATCCAGAATGTTGTACTCCTTTCAGGAGTCTGATTAATCTTGGGTATCCCCAAGTATCAGCAATGGTGTCACAGCATATGGTTACTGACAAATTGCTTACTTTCTAATTTTTATCATATAATGCTCTTCCAATATATTTGAGAAATGTGCATCTGTCCATCTGAATTAAGCTAAGAGCTAGGAACACCAAATTTGATAGGCCATTTCCTCTTACCATAACTTAAAGGAAGGTAAGGGTTTGATTGAGCTAGGAAAATGGGATGTCCCTGAAATGGTATTGGTTCTCATAAAATGGAAAGCAATGGTTCTGTTATATGATGACCACATGGGGGCAGCAGAGCATGTGGGATGGGAAGCTGGAATAGTTATACTGTGTAATGACCAACAGGGGCAGCCAATAGCCAGAGGCTGGAATCGGGACAGCTATATCCCCATTGGGCCAACAGGGATGGAGAAAGGATAGCTATGTACTACATATTTGAGAGAATTTCGGTGTGTCTGTCCCTCAGCAGGGAGACAAGCATCCTTCCCCTGACTGTGCCTGCTGGATCTGCAGTGGGGGTGGAGAGGTGCTTCTCACCTGACCCCAAATTTGCTGCTGTGAAAGAGGACTGGGGTAGTCCTCTCTTCCTAGAGCAGCCTGCATACTGGACCCCTCATTACTCTGGACTAGGGCTGGGATGATTTTAAATTTAAAAAAAAAGAAAAATGAATTAAGGACTTGAACAATGCCAGGTAAATCTTCTAGTTTAAAAAAAAATCAATTGGGATATAAATATTGTACATTTCAGCATAGGGTATGTAGAGCAGAATAAAAAAGTATTGTATGAAATTTTAGTTTGTATCTGTCAGGGCCATGAGGGATGGCCAGCAGTCTGGGGACTAAGGGGTTAACTATGTCCCTTGTACCTAGCCAGGTAGCAGTCAGCCAACAGAAATGCAGATAGGGATTTCAAACTGAGACAAAAGAATGTTGGGGTTTTACCTCCTTTGTCTCTGAGCCAGTTTGCTCTCTAGATACTGAGGGGCTACGTCTAGACTGGCATGTTTTTCCGCAAATGCTTTTAACGGAAAAGTTTTTCTGTTAAAAGCATTTGCGGAAAAGAGCGTCTAGATTGTCATGGACGCTTTTCCGCAAAAGCACTTTGGCATGGATGCTTTTCCGCAAAATCTAGACGCGGTTTTGTGCAAGAAAGCCCCGATCACCATTTTCGCGATCGGGGCTTTTTTGCGCAAAACAATACCACATTGTCTACAATGGCCCTCTGCACAAAAGCATTTGATTCAGAATTGAGGCCATAGATACTCTTCACAAAGCTGATATTTTTTTTTTCTTATTCACTGCACAAAAGCAGTATTTTACCCATACTTGTAGGTAACTGCCTTTCAGGTACACTTTTCTATTGAAAAGAGTACTCCAGTAAACTGAAGGTTCTTAACCAACACCAAATTCACAATTAATACCTAAGCTCTTACCACTTTTTCCATTCACTATAAATTAATAACTTCTGTGTCAGTGTTCCCTCTAAGCTACCTGGCTGCACAGCTTCACAGGTGATTAATCACCCCCATCCAGTCAGAGGCTCAGGGCTTCATTCACAGAGCTGACTCACTAGGCAGGGCTGATTAATCACCTGTGAAGCTGTGCTGCCACTCAGCTTAGAGGGAACACTGTTCTGTGTCAAACTTAAGCAAGAACGGTTCCTTAAGTCTATTTCTCCCTGGCTTTGTCTATACTGCAGGGTTTTTGCGCAAGATGCTTTTTTGCAGAAGAGATCTTCTGCAAAAACTTCTTGCGCAAAAGCGCATCCACACCTCAAAAGCACATTGCAAAAGCATGGATGAATCCACTGCATGGATGCTCTTGAGCAAGAAAGCTTCGATTGCCATTAACAGAATGGCCATCAGAGCACCTGTGCTTTTTCTGATAGGCTCTTTTTGCACAAGAAACCCCTGCGGAGTGTGCACACGTGCCTTTTTGTGCAAGAGCTGTAGCGTAAAAAGGAGTTATTCCTCGTGGGGAGAAGAATAACTCTACCGGCAAAAGCCCTCTGTCCTGTCGATTCCCTGTTTTTGGAGGGGGGGGCGTTGCACGGAAAGGCGCTTGAGGTGTGTACGCTACACCTTTTTTGCGCAAAAACCTTGTAACGTACTCATAGCCACTGTGATTAATTTCACTGAATGCACTGGAACCACTCAGTTTGAAAAATTCAGCGTAGATTAGTAAATTACTAGAACTGGAAGAGATCTCGAGAGGTCATCAAGTCTAGTCCCCTGCCCTCTCAGCAGGACCGAACACCATCTAGACCATCCCTGATAGACATCTATCTAACCTGCTCTTAAATATCTCCAGTGATGGAAATTCTACAACCTCCCTCAGCAGTTTATTCCAGTGTTTAACCACCCTGAGAATTACAAAGTTTTTCCTAATATCCATCCAACCTATGTCCTATCCAAGCATGTGTAAGGTATTTGCAGGAAAAGTTCCTAAGTTTTGTTTTCTTTATATTGTGGTCCTTTTATTGCATTGTAAGATTTTAACTAATAGGGTGAATAGGGTTAAATCAGAAGGGTTTTAATCACAGTTTTAAATCAGCAAACCGAAGTAGGAAAGCCTTGATTAATATTGAGGGCTTTGCATTTGTATTTTTGGTTATTTTCCTGAAAACATGTCGATTCTCATTGGTTGATAACTATTAAAATATGTTCCTTTGCAGCTAAATTTAACCTTTATACTAAATTTGTTATCTTGTGCAAACAAGGATACATTACACCCATATAGTGTGGGTTTTTAAAGCAACTGTATAGCTCAGGTCCTTCATTTTAACTATTCCTTTTTATGTTAGAAAATTATGAATGATGAATTTATTTACTATATGGTTATCTTTACTAGCAAGTTGTCAAGCTCTGTTTGTATTGAAATTGAAGTTCAATTAAAAATGCAACATTAAAAATTAGCATTTTAAGATGGTTTTATTTTTTGTATACGCTGTTCTCAAATTGTAGGTCAGGACTCCAAATTGGATTTTGATATGATTTGATTTGTCAGAAGGGGGCTGTGGTGCAACAGAGTTTGAGAGCCCCTGACTTAAGACTACCTTAAATGTGCTGGAGCAAATGTTTACCAAAATCGGTTTTGTATTTAAAACTGATGTATTAAAGAATGGAAGTCTTAAATCTAGTTAGTGAACTAAACTAACTGTTCTGGTCACCATCCTTCAAGAACTGTAATAGATCTCATCCTCTCTCATCTAGTTTTCATAGATTGACAGGAAAACCAGTTTTCTGCTTTTTCAGCTCAATTTCTTGACTTGAAATGAACTAGTCACTTTACTTGAACTAGTAGAATCAACTGAAAGAAAGCAGATATCTTGGTAGAAAAGGCCACTACTATCAATAGCTGCTATAGCACTTCAAATTCTGGTTCTAGGTGCTCAGTTAGATAATTTTACCAGTGCAGTTTCACTTTCCTACTTTGACAGTGAAAGTACTATTTAAGTACCTGGTTAAATTTAAATTTTAAATTTTAGGCCTTACTATAAATTGATATTCATTTTTTATTTTACAAATCTATTTAAATATCTAGATTTAAAACTATTTTTAATTTTTCAAACCCTTATTTTAGCAGTTTTGTCAGCTAATCAAAATCATTTATCAAATGAAAGGTTTGACTGCATTTCTCTAGTCTCAAATGTTGTTCCTGAAAATATAGTAAAAGCTTAACAATTTCCAAAACAAGGCATTTATTTCAATGCCCCTTGTTTTAAGCAGTCAGCACACTTTTAGAAAATTGTAGCCTTTTTAAGATCAG